CAAGACCATTTCTGGCAGGGTTGGGGGGTGAAGGAAAGCTATTACTCTTTCAAGACTCAGTACCCATGTCCCCTCCTGTAGGCGACACGTGGGGTTAGGTGCCCTTCCTCAGGAAGACCTCTGAATCTACTTCTGTCCCATACCAAACCACACTATGTCGTCATTGTCTATGTGTCTCTTCCTTCTAGACTGGAGCTCCCTAATGGTAGGACCAGATATAATTCATTCCTGTATCGCACCAAGGTTCAGGACAAGGCCTAACTGCCAGTGGGCAGGACAAATCTCGTTGCATGAATAAGGTGGTATGTGAGCTAGTTATGAAAAGGAAAGCAAGATCTGAACATCTGGATGTAGGGAAATGGTATAGAGAGGGAAGGAAATGTTAGTAAAAGCAAAGAAATGGGACCAAGGATAAAGGCCAGTAATTTTGAAATTATGACAGAATGTGCATAACATGTTTTCATTGTTGTTATGCGTATTTTCTTTTCCTTACAAGAATGGGATAATACTACAAGCCATGTTCTGCAACTTGCTTTTTTCTTCTAACAATAAGTCTTAGAGATCCTTCCATGCCAGGATACAGAGAGATATCTTTTTCTTTTGATCTGTAAGAGTATGGGTGACTACTCACCTATAGGATGGGTGAATCATGAAGGAAAAGCTGTTCTCTTACAGACGGAAATGTAGGTTGTTTTAATGTTTTGCTATTGTAAACAATGTTGCAACGAACATCTTTGCGTATGTCTGGAAGCAGTTTTGAAGGATAGGTTCCTAAAAGTTGAATTAGTGGGCCAAAGGAATGCACATTTTGTTTAAAATGTAGATAAAAGTTATTTCTGTTGCTTTAACATTTTTATAGACTGGCTAAAAATAAAGATTAGTCCTATTCACATAATCAAGTCTTTATTTTGAGAGCATACATCGTGCAACCTTCTCATTAAGAGTTAGTTGAGAATGCTACAAGGATATGCGATATCTTGTTGCACGGCATGTTTTATGCTCACAGTTGGGGTTGAATGCTTTAGAAAAGATCTCTGGTTGGGAGACCATCTAGTAGTAAAGCCTTAGAGAAATCTACCTCCCAGACATGGTTCTCAAGTTGGAAGTATATCCACAGTTAAGATTCAGGGGAGCAATGGACAAATTGGTGCCATAAAAAATGGTACCAATTTGCACTCCGTTCAAGGATCATGAGAGATTCTGTTTCCTCAGTGGAAACAGTGTTTCTGTTTCCTCAATCTTTTCAGTTTCAACACTTTAGAATTGGTACCTCTTTGTTTTAGTTACATTTCTTTAGCTATTAGTAAGCTTGAGTATCCTTTCTCATTTATCAGCTAATAGATGTCTATTCTCTGAATTGCCAAATCATGTTATTTCTCTATTCTAAATGTAGTACAAATCTTTTTCTTATTGATTTCCAGGAGATGACTTATATATAAACAGAGATCTTAACCTTTGCCTGATGTTTATGTAGCAAATACTCTTTCCTAGCCTGTTATGTTTTAACTTTTTGTATAGTCTCTTTGTCTACACGGAAGTTCTCAACTTTAATGGAGTCAAAATTATTGTTCTTTACTCTATGGCTTCTGGGCTCTTAAGTCATGCTCAGAAAAGTTTCTCCATTCTACTCTGATAAAAATATCCTGTATTTTCTTCTGCTACTTTTGCAGTTTTATCCTTTGTATTTGATTTTATGTGAGACAGAGGTTTGATTTAGTTTTCTTTTTTCCAAATGGTAGCCAATAGTCCCACCCCATTTACTAACTCCCTACTGATTTGAAATTCTTTATCTGATATGATTCTTTATCATAAATTACATTCCCATATGAATATATGGTTTTGTTTCTAAACTCTCTATTTTCTTCCCTGTATGTAATTCTCTATTTCTGTGATGATATAAGATTTGTAATTTCTGCAGCTTTATGGTAATTTTGTGTATTTAATAGGACAAGTTCCCCCACACTGTTCTTCTTTTTCAAAATTTTCTTACTAATTTATGGGCATTTACTCTTCCAAATGAGCTTTAAAATCCAATTGCCCAATTCCCAAAGAAAATAATACCACTGAGATTTTAGTGAGAAATGCATTGAAATTTTGATCAGACTGAAGGAAAAAAATGTTGTTTTTATTATATTCAATCTTTGCATCCAGGATCAGGATAGGATCCTTGGCTAGTCAAGTCTTCTTACAGCCTTTGATAAAATTTTCTAGTTTTCTATAGAGAAGTATTTCATGTTTCTTGTCAATTCCTAGGAATTTTATCATTTTTTCTTACTATTGTGAATGGAATATTTTTCTATTATGTCTTCTAATTAGTTATTGTTGGTATTCAGAGAAGCTGATGGTTCGGGCATATATTTCTCTTGTATCTAGCCATCTCACTGAATATTCTTTTCTTAAATTTTTTAATGTTCTATTTATTTCTGAGAGAGAGAGAAAGAGAGAGAGACAGTGTGAGCAGGGGAGGGTCAGAGAGAGAGGGAGATACAGAATCTGAAACAGGCTCCAGGCTCTGAGCTGGCTGTCAGCACAGAGCCCGACATGGGACTCGAACCCACAAACCACGAGATCATGACCTGAGCTGAAGTCGGACGTTTAAACGACTGAGCCACCCAGGTACCCCTCACTGAATATTCTTATTAGTTCTGATAATTTTTCCTTTTGTTCTCTTTGATTATCTAAGTAGACAGCCATATCATCTCCAAATAGTGCTAATTCTGACTTTAATCCTACTGGTTAAAACTTCTAGAAAAAAATGTTGATGGGGCACATGGGTGGCTCAGTCAGTTCAGCGTCTGACTCTTGGTTTTGGCTCAGATCAGGTAAGTGTCTGACTCTTGGTTTTGGCTCAGATCATGATCTCACAGTTCATGAATTCAAACCTAACATCAGGCTCAGCGTTGATAGCACAGGGCCTGCTTGGGATTCTCTTTCTCTGCCGCGCGCGCGCGCGCATACACACACACACACACACACACACACACACTCTAGTATAAATAAATAACATTTTTAAAAACTTCTAGGAAAAAATGTTGGTTAGTGACAATGATAGCAATCATACTTATTTTGTTCCTGAGCTTAATGGGAATTTACCTAGTAGCTCACTATTAAATTTTGTGATTGCCTTTGGTTTCTGCTTTTAAAAAAATTCTTTACCAAACTAAGGACATTTTCACTGATAGCTTACTATACTAGTAATCTATGGCTGTGTAACAAATTATCCCAATACAGCAAGAAATAACTAGGAGACTTACTAAGAGTTTTAAAACCAAGAACAGATATATAATTCTATCAGATTAGTTTTTCAGCATTTATGGAGATAGTTATACATTCTTTTTACTTTAATCTATTAATGTAATCCATTACAACAACAGCTTTCCTAATGGTGAACAATCCCTGCACTGCTGGGACAAACTTTCATTTGTCATGATACATTCTTTCAATACACTGATGGATTCAGTTTGATAATCTTTCATTTAAAAAACGTATGATGGGGAGCCTGGGTGGCTCAGTTGGTTAAGCGTCCGACTTCAGCTCGGGTCATGGTCTTGCAGTTCGTGGGTTCGAGCCCCGCGTCGGGCTCTGTGCTGACAGCCAGCTCAGAGCCTGGAGCCTGTTTCAGAGTCTGTATCTCCTTCTCTCTCTGACCCTCACCTGCTCACACTCTTTCTCTCTTTCTCTCTCTCTCTCTCTCTCAGAAATAAATAAAAAACATTTTTAAAAAGTATGACTATTAAAATGTTAGATTAGGCTATAGTTTCCCTCCCCCACCCCCTTTCTCTAAATCTATCCAGTTATACTAGCTTTTTGGAATGAGCTGGGAAACTGCCCATCTTTTTCCATTATCTGATCTTTCCAGATTCAATAAAACTTCCATCATACCAGCACTTCCAGAATACCAGTTGGGTCTTGGTACCATTTCTGAGGAGAAAACTTTGACCATATTTTTAACTTCTTCTATATTGTTCTATTCTATTCAAGTTTTCTCTCACTCCTTAAGTCATTTTGGTAACTTACATTTTCCTAGAAAACCATCCAAGTCATCTATATTTTCACATTTATTGGTGTAAAATTATACAAAGCATCTTTAATGACTTTTTTCATCTCTTCAAAATCTGTGGTTAAATCCCCTTCATCATACCTTATTTTATTTACGTTTCTTCTTGCCTTTTTCTCAGTCATATCTGCCAGAGGACAGTCTGTCTAGTTTACTGGTCTTTTCAAAAACCACCTCTTAGTTTACCAAATCTTTTGTTTTCTATTTTACTAATTTCTGGTTTTATCTATAGTAATTACTTTCTTCTGCTTTCTTCTGGTTGTTCTTTCTCTAAACTTTTGAGTGGAATAATTAATTTAAACTGTTTTGTTCCCCAATAAAAACATTTAAGACTATACATTTTCTTCTGGGAACCCCTATGGTCACATCCCATAGGTTTTGATATGTAGTATTCCCATTGACATTTATTCTAACTAGTCTATAAATTCCATTCTTATTTCCTCTTTCACATGAGTATTTTTTTAACTTTCATATGGTTCTGGGGTGTGTTTTTTTTTTTTTTTTGCTGTTGCTATTAATATTTCATTTTATTGCCTTATAATTAGAAAATGTAAAATGTGACTTCCCATTAACTTGGAAATAATGTTCTCAAAGGTGTGGGTGATTTTTCCCTCTGCCTAAACACCCTTGCCCATCCTATCCAACTGGCAAACTCATCCTTCAAAACAGCTCAAATAGTACATATTGTAGAACCAACCACTCCCACCTTTGGGGCCGGGTATCCGGGGAAGGAGTTTTAAGGAAGCATAAACTAAAAACAGAATCTGAATGTCCTCTTAGGTCTCCTCCCTGGTCTCCCAGTCACTCTTGTCACATGCTCAGACATTCATTCCACAAGCATTCAGGGGGGAACAGAGGGAGATGGGGGAGGGGGTCTGGCAATGCTATTGCAGATTTGTCTGGAAGGGTGGAGGATGAGGGGAGGGATGGGTCTAGCTCTTACCTGCTCTTTGCCAGCCTGCCTGAGGGGATAAGCTTCATGGAGTCAAGGACCTGAGTAGGACAGCAATACTGGTGTAGAGTGTGAGACGCTGTGGACCTGAGAGACAGCAAGAGACAGAGAGAGAGACAGAGAGAGAGACAGAGAAAGAGACAGAGAGAGAGAGAGACAGGGAGGGAGGGGAGAGGCCAGGTGGGGAGTAGGGATGAAGAAGTGAGAGTGAGTGGGGAAGGGGAAAGGGAAGAATGGGAAGAATGGGTGGTGGAGGATTGGGAATGAAGTGGAGGGGTGGGAGGTGGGGAGGCAGGGAAGAAGGGAGAGAAGGGAGAGAGGGAAGGAAAGAGGGAGGGAAGGAAGGAGGGAGGGAGGGAAGGAAGGAAGGAAGGAAGGAAGGAAGGAAGGAAGGAAGGAAGGAAGGAAGAAAAAAAGAAAAAAACCACAAAGTCAAGAAAGAGAGGACGGCACTCGAACCACAAACAGAACACAACGACAACAGGGGGCAGCAGAGACAAAAGAGCCGGTCTGGGCCTCCTGTGTTCCAGGTGACTCCGTGGGGACCTGAGCCACGGAGACACTGGGACACCACAGCAGGGAAGGGGGAAGGGAGCCCTCCTCACACCAGACGCCACACGGGTGGGAAAGAGGGGAGGGAAGAGGGGAGGAAAGAGAAAGGGAAAAGCTATATGGGGGGCTCCCCCTTAGAGAAGATCCCTTTCAAGAGGGGAGGAAGGCATGGAGGGAAAGGAGACTCTGGATCCAGAGAAGGGGAAGAACCCAGGCCAGGTGGGTGGAGGAAACACTGTGGGAGGAGAGGGAGAGGGACAGAGAGAAACCGAAAGAGACAAGGAAAGGGTGAGATGGAAAAGGAGAAAGACAGAGAAAGAGGAAGACGGAGGAAGGGCGAGACAAAAGACACAGAGAGAGGACAGGCAGAGGCAGAGAGCGAGAGCGAGAGCACCAGAGCAAAGGAGAGGAGAGGCGAGGGCGGAGGAGAGCTGCCAAGGTCTCAGTGGTCTAGGTGAAGGATGGGTCTGGGGCTAAGTGGGTGGGTGGGGCTTGGTCCGCCAGAGGACAGGGTGGTTCCCAGCAGGAGTCTTTACTTCCAAGGCCAGTGCTGTGCCCCTGTCCCAGGGCACAGCCCACACTCCACCTCCCAGCACTGTGCCCCCGCCCCTCGAGCAGGGTCCAAAGGCCCCGGTGCGTCCTGCTTCCCACGATTATAAAGTCCAGAGAATGGGCCTGGGGGAGGAGGGACAGTAGCAGAGCGAGGCTGAGGGCCTGGTCTACCCAGAGCAGGGCAGGCGCTGAGAGTAGAACTGGCCCTTCCAGGTCAGCCAGCCCCTCTCCCCCACACACCCCTGCAGGCAGCTTGTGATCAGGGCCTGGCCGTTCCAAAGCCCAAGTAAAGGCCAGGAGATGTGGCTGCAGGCCAGGTCAGCTGCCCAGCATCTATCTCACTTGCGATTCTGGGGATGCCCAAATCTTAGATCCTTATAGAGAATCTCGGAATCTGCTCCTGTTCTTGTCAGAAACTGGAATAAGCATCATCATCAGAACAACTGTCTCTCAAGTGCCATCTAAGTGCCAGTCACCAGCCCCAGTCCTTGACTCATTACCTCATTAAACCTGAGATGTAGAGACCCTTAGGCTGCTGGAATGTTAGTAATCAGAGAATCTCAGCAGCTAGGGGGGAGCCCTGCCGTACTGAGCCAGGTTAGCGTGCCAAGGCAGCCACTAGTTACACCCCTCATAGGCCACACGGACTGTGCTGCTCAGGGCTCCAGGGTTCTCACAGTGGGGGGCACCCGGATGCCCATGTGCTCACCCACTCTCACTAACTCCCTCCCCATGCCAAAGGCCTCCAAGAGTCCAAGAGGGGAGCCAGGAACCAGGAAGCCAGGAGGCTGCTGAATCAGCAGCCCAAGGACCGAGTCAAGGCCAGGGCAGGGAAGGAGAGGGTCAGGCTGCAGGGTGGGTGAGTGGAGGGGGGTGCTCGGTTCCTACCTGCTACTCCTCCCGGGGGGCTCCATGGGTCTGGACCTGTCCCGAGGGCAGGCCCCCTGGCCGGGCGGTGCCTCCACTGTGTCACCACCCCCCCTCCTCCCCAGCCCTTCCCTAGAAGGAGGAACCAAGGAGGCGGGGCCAGGCCAGCCGGGCTGGAGGCCAGAATGCAACTGGAAACTTTGCTCCTTCCTCTGCTCCCCCAGGAGGGCTGGGAACTCCAAGTAAGAGGAAGCAGTTTTGAGAACTCACAGTGACTCCTCTGGGCCAAACCCCAGACTAGGCTCCCCGTGTGCATCTCTGCTGGAATCTCCCCCAAGCACCCAGTCAAGTATGTGTCACTAGCCCTATTCTCTGGATGAGAAAACTCAGATGGAGAGACGTTAATTCGGCACTGGCACTACAGCTGCTAAGTGGCAGAACCCCAAGATTGAGACCCGGTTTGACCATTCCCCAGATCTGGATTCAGTCCCCTCGGCCATATTGCTGCCTTGTGAGTACAGAAACCTTTCCACAGAAGCTTTTCACAAACTTTCTCATCTTCTGCACAGTTAGAATCTCTGTTTTCTTGTTGTGCTGGGATGCTGCAGATCAAGTAATATTCAAATCACCCATTTGGGGAAATCAAGGCGAGGCCCTGGCCAATAAGCCTGACCACTGCAGTAAGCTCGCATCCCCCTGTGTGTGGTTTCCAGGACTGCCTAAGAGAAATGCTCCCCGAAGAGAAAAGCAAAAATCAGAAGAAACCCCGTTCTCCATCAAGAGGCTCTTCTTCCAAGGAAACTCCCCTGCCTGACTTTACAGATGGGGAAATTGAGGCCTAGAGAGGGGAAGAGTCTTGCTAATGTTCACACAGCCAGTCTGACTAGAATCCAGATGCCCTGACTCCCCACCTACCCATCACAGGAATCTCTCTCTCTCCTCCCTATGGGTGGGGCTGGAGAAAGGAGAGACTTTGGAGGATTGGAAGGATGGGAGGGGGGTTCCTGAAGAGTCCCACAGATCCAGCTCGGAGAGCTCCTTCCCTTTCACGGCCCCAGAGCCCAGGCCCCTGGCTGTTCTGAGCAGAAGGCGGCCCTGGGAGGGGCCAGGGGGGCAGTGATCTAGAAGGAATAGGAACTGACAGGCAACAGGCCAGCCTTCCTGCCTTCCTGCCTCCCTGCCGGGGGCAGCTGGTTCCTCTCAAGAAAGCCAAAGCCGCGAAGAGAGATAGGCCCTCTGGACCACCGCAAAGTTGGCATCTGTGGGCCCTCTGTGGCCTCTTCTCCCTCTTCCCACCCTTTAAAGCCCCTGGTCCCTAGGGCTCTGGCCTCAACCCCTGCTTTTTTCTCTCTCCTTCGGCAACTCTCCTAGCTCCGGTGGCTGCTGTGCTCTGTGCCCGTTTGCAGTTATTGCCCTGAGGGTTGCACCTCTGGCCCAGACCTTCCTCTTGGCCTGATAGGAGTTGAGAGACAGAAATTTTAGTCCTGGCCATAAGGCTAGCTCCTTCCCCTCCATGGTGAGGCAAAGAGCCTACACCTCCACGCCTGGTAGAGCAAGCACAAGTCCCAGCTCTACCACTTTCCAACTGGATAATACCGCTGAGGCTCAGTTTCCTTGTCTCTAAAAGACAAGCAGCAATGTCTGCCTCCTGGGTTCTTGTGATGATTCAGTGAAACGAATGCGCATCTATGGTATAGAGTCAGCTTGAGCCTGAAAGAGTCTGACCTCTCTCCCAGGAAGACAGGGGAGACCCATGGGAAGGCTATTTGTTTCAAGGATGGGGAGAATTCTAGGAAAAGATCTCTGAGCTACTCTTGAAATTCAGACCTATCTGAGAATTTTGGGTAGACTCATGTGATGGCCCACCAGGGGCTGAAAGGAAGAAGGAATTAACGGTGAGGAGCTTGACCCAGCCACAGGGCACGGGTGGGCACTTAACTCACTTATTCAACAGATCCTTTGGACCCAGCACTTGGGGGCGGGTGGGGGCTGATAAAGCAGGGGCTAAGGGTAGTCGATGGCCTGATTTCATGGAGCTTCTATCCAAGTGAGAGGAGACAGACATTCAACAGCTAATGGAATTAAGCTGGGCAAAAAGTAAGAGGCAGCAGGAGAGAGCGTTCCAGGCACAGGAAACAATTTGGGCAAAGGATCTGAGGTGGTATTTCCAGGAACTGCAAGGAGGCCAATGCAGCTGAGTGGAAAAAGCAAAGGGGAGAGAGGTGAGACTGGAGATGTAGGCAGGCGTCTAATCACACAGAGCCTCAGAGGCCATACCAAAGTTTTGGTATTTATACTAAGAGCAATTCGGTAGCCTGTGGTTTGTGTAAAGGCACTGGGGGAAGGGGGAGTGTCTCTGAAGCCCCTGAAGTTGTATGGAAAATATTAATGAGTAACAACATGTTTGGGGGGAAAGCATAGCTTTCACCAGATCCTCACATGGGTTGACGGTCCCAAAAGAGCTGGGAAGCTCCTTATAGGATTCCATTCGCTAAGCATCTACCCTGAGCTAGTGGCAGGCATCCTAGAATCTTCTCTGAGCTGACTCCTACCCCCCACCTCCCAGTTAGACTCAGCCTTCCCCTGCCCCCCATCTTCAACCAGTGCTCCACCCAGACAGGAGTGCTAACATTCTTTGCCATACTGCCTTCCAAGCCTCATCTTTGCCTTTGTTCAAAAAGCCATTCCCACCCCCCATCCCCACTGCCACTTCCCCACTTCACTAGCTGCCCCTGGTTCCTCACAAGTCAGCTTAGAGGTTGTGCCCCCTGGGAACAGGCCCTGGCCCCCTTCCCTGTTTCCTTCCCACCCTGCACTTGTCTCAGGCTTGTCTGTCCACAAGCTGATGCTCCCTCTGGCCTGGGAGCTCTGTGGGGACAGGGGCTCTGCTATATTTATCCCAGCGTCCCCAGCATCCAGCACAGGGCACCCAGAAACACAAGTCAGTACACGGCGGCGGTGGTGGTAGACAATCCACACTGAGGTGGAGGCTGCAAGATTGGCTGGTGGACACTAGAGGGCACTGTGGCCACAGGAATCCTGGCCTGATGCTGCTCAGGCTGATCCACAGTGGGCACCAGGGCCAGGTGCGCCTGGAAGCAAGGACACTATGCTCC